ACTAATCTTGACGCCGATGCCGCTTGCAAGCGCAATAATTTGGGCGTCATCTGCGCACTTCAGCGTGGAACTCACACCGATCGAGTTTGCTGTGGGTACGCTGAGACTGAGAACGAATGCGACAGCGGACCACACGGTCCACAATGCCTTCTGGACCGCCATCCCACAGAACAGAAAGACAATGACCCGAAGGTCCACTGTTTCCGCGTGTGTGTGGAATACGAGCAAAATGGAAGATGCTCCAGGTCTGCTTGAACCAAGATGCTTGGGACGGACGGCCAAATTACACCATGCGCCCACCCTGGCCATCATTATTTCGAGAGAACGGGGGGAGGGATTCTCAAGTGGCGGTCTGGAGGCCAACGCGCGGCACGGTTGATTCCCGAGGTGCGCGTTGCAGCGCGGGTGGGGGAGAGAAGGTCTACTCCTCCAGGAGCCGGGAGGAGCGGGGATGATAAAGGAACAATACGACTGCATGAACATGCTTTCTCGGAGCTCTCCAGTTGCGCCCTCTGGGCCGCCCCCCCTCCCTCGCCTGGGGCCCTCCGAGCGGCAGCGCGGCGCTGCCCCAGGCTGGCCCAAGGGAGCCTTCGGAACCAAGACGTGTTTACAGGGCCAGTCGACGGCGCAAGAGCCTCCAAGAGAACCCCAGGACGGTCCACCATGGCCCAACACGGCCCAAGGATAGAGGCCCTCAAGAGCCTTCGAAAACGGCCCAGGAGGCCCCCAACAAAGCTCCAAGACAGCAACAAACCGCCCCAAGGCTGCCAAGATCGGCCCCAAGGTTGCCCAAACGCCATGCAGGAAGGCCCCAGGACAGCCCAACATGGCTCCGATTCGGCCCAAGAGGACCTTCAGATGCCCAAACCTTGTCTCAAAGACGGCCGCGGAAACAACCAAGAAAAAGAAGGTTCTCCAGAACGACGCTTGCTCGAACAAGGCACTGAACTGGAACAGGCTGTAAACTCGATCTCCGTCCCGCCATGCTGCTGCGCTGGCACGGTGGCGGAGGTTGGCGCAGGCAGCTGGACATGCGGAGGGTCAAAGGAGGATACAGGATGCAAACTGGGAAGGAAAGGGATGGGGAGGGAGGGCGGAGGAAGCAAGCCCCCTCGGTCTCAACACCTTGAAGCAAGCGACCGACTGTACTGGGAAGTAGCCATTGTTTGTCAGCCGTTGCAGGTCGGAGCAGGACGGCTGGCAAGGGTGCCAGCTCGATTCGGCGAGCAACGGGAGCATGTGACAGCGCGGAGTGGCAACAAGATGCTGCCAGGCAGCCGCTGAGATTGGTGCAACGTGGCACGAACCATGCACGGAAGTCTCAGAATCCCTGTAAAAGAGACAGTTCTCCTAAGCACAGGAAAACACTGCCGCATGCGTCGCCCGAAAGGGCGCACTTGCTTGCCATTTACTCACTTCTCAAGCATCCCGCATGGTCACGCGAAGGTTGCGATTGCAACTGGCGACTCCGAGGAAGGTGCCTGGCCACTCGTCACCACTTCTAGCAAAGACGTGCGCTTGGTACAAGACGCTGGGGGAATCATCACCTCTTTGTGGTCGTCTTCCCCCAGCAGACCTCCGACGGCAAATCCTGATCGCCCCAAATGCTTCACGTGCACATTCAAATAAAGGATGCCACTCTCTGTGCGTCCGTGGACGACTTTCAGCTCGACAGGACCAACAACGACCCATTGCGGAATCGTCACGGCGTTTTGCCGTACGCTGTAGTGATACCCTCCAACTTGCTTAGCCTCTGCCCAAGAGCCTGTAATGTTCAGTTCTTTAAAATACATGTCCGAACAACTTCCGCCCGATCGGCGCGCATCAGCCTGCACACGAAGCAATGCGTCATCAACGCTCACTCCACGAGGGATGTTTATCAGAACATGTTTGCCCGGCTTCATTAAATCGAACGGCTCGCCGTGAACGTTTTGAAGGTGCGGATCGCCGGTGGCAGCCACGCCTCCGGCGGCTCCACCCGCCATGGGAGCTGCGGGAAGAAACGTTGGACTTGGCGTCGGCCAACCCAGAGGATACGTCGGACTGGACGTCGGGCTGGGCGTGGGGAAGGGCGTCGGGAAGGACGTCGGGTAGGGAGTCGGGAAAGCCGTGGGGTAGGCCGTCAGGAAGGCCGTCGGGTAGGGCGTCGGAAAGGCCGTCGGGTAAGGCGTCGGGAAAGCCGTGGGGTAAGACGTTGGGAAAGCTGTGGGGTAGGGCGTGGGGTAGGGCGTGGGGTAGGCCGTCGGGAAAGCCGTCGGGTAGGGCGTCGGGAAGGCCGTCGGGTAAGGCGTCGGGAAAGCCGTGGGGTAAGACGTTGGGAAAGCTGTGGGGTAGGGCGTGGGATAGGGCGTGGGGTTCGGAGTCGGGCTCGGCGTCGGCTTCGGCGTCGGGTACGGCGTCGGGTTCGGCGTCGGGCTCGGCGTCGGCTTCGGCGTCGGGGTTTATAGGCGTCGTCGGTCGGTGCCCGCGGCTTCGCGTCGGTTACGGCCGTCGGGTTCGGCGGGGGGTTGGCGTTCGGCTTCGGGGGGGCGTCGGGTACGGCGAGGGGTCGGCGTCGGGTTCGGCGTCGGCTTCTGGCGTCGGGTTACGGCGTGGGGTTCGGGTCGGGTTCGGATTCGTCGGCTGCGGGTTACGGCGTCGGGTTCGGCGTCGGCTTAGGCGTGGGCGTCGGGTACTGCGTCGGGTTCGGCCGCGGGTTCGTAACGGCGTCGCTTACGGCGTCGGCAACGGCGTCGGCCTCGGCGTCGGGTACCGCGTCGGCATGTCGCCACGGGTCGGCCTCGGCGTCGGGTACCGCGTCGGCCACGGCGTCGGCCACGGCGTCGGCCTCGGCGTCGGGTCAGGCCCTTTCGCCGCCAGAGACCTGTCCAAGGACTGCTGATCATCCGCGTCCCGGGAGCCCGTGGAGCTCCTGTCCATCAGTACCTTCGCCGCCTGGGAGCTGCTGGGGCTGGCCACCCTGCAGAGGCCGCACGTTGCAGGGCAGGTCGCACTCACAGTGCTGCCATACGCCGCATCTTTGCAATAAGGCTTCACCTCAGCACAACCACTAATCTTGACGCCGATGCCGCTTGCACGCGCAATAAGTTGGGCGTCGCCATCTGCGCACTTCAGCGTGGAACTCACACCGATCGAGTTTGCTGTGGGTACGCTGAGACTGAGAACGGATGCGACAGCGGACCACACGGTCCACAATGCCTTCTGGACCGCCTCCCAACCCGCAGGTCAACTGTTTCCGCGTGTGTGGAGTACGGGCAAAAAGACGCTGCTCCAGGTCTGCCTGAACCTGAACCAGAATGCTTGAGACGGTCGGCCAAGTTAGACAGTGCGCCCACCAGGGCCATCATTATTTCAGACTGATTATCTGTCCCATTGTCATTCTCTCATCTTTGGGGATTCTCCCAGGTCTTTCCTTTCTCCTCTCGCGATCCTCCTCCCTCCTCCGCCTCCTCAGCCTCCCCATTCGCGTGCATGTCCTTCTCCTCACCGATCGTGCTGCCCCCCATCCCGTTCCTTCTCCTTCTCTTTCTCCTCCTCCTCCTCCTCCTCCTCCTCTTCCTCCGTCTCCTCCTCCTCCCTTCCACCTCCCCTTATGTTCTCCTTTCCATGAGATTCACGTGCATACGCTACTGCTACCCACCCTCCCCCGTAGCGGCCCCCCCTTGCAATTGCTGGGACATCCGTTGGCGCGTCTTTGACAACGTGGTTGAAGGATGGGGAGGAGCAGGAAGAGGAGCAGGAGGAGGAGGAGTAGGAGGAGAAGGGGGATGATGGGGGGGAGGAGGAGGAGGAGGAGAAGGAGGAGAAGGAGGAGGAGGAGGAAGAGGAGGAAGAGGAGGAGGAGGAGGAGAGGAGGAGGAGGAGGAGGAGGGGAGATGAGAAGGAGGAGGAGGACCAGTGTAAACCCAAGAGGCATCAACAAGTTGCCTCTTCATAGGCCCCTACAGGAATTGAGTATTACTGAGGGAATACCTTGTTGGAAGACAACTGTTTGAAGACCCTGAAACATGCCAACAAGTTGTTCTCGGAATTCCAACGCCACTGATAAACTTGACTGTTGCATCTTGACGATCCCGCGTGCCACACATTCATGCCTGGGACGAACACCGCGAATCAACACAACTTGCGTACCCTCCGAAGCCTGAATCCTTCCCAAACACAAATTATGGTACATTGATCACGGGAATCCGCGAAACTCTTGCAAATGTCTACGACGAAAATGCGCGGCGCTCACGCGAGAACCGCATTTTGAAAATGAATCGCCCTCAAGCAGTGAAACTCTTGCAATGTTTAAAAACGAATGTGCGCTGCGAGGCAAGAACTGCATGTGGAATACGACCCGCCCTCAATATGTGAAGTTTCTGCCATGTGTTTAAAGGAATGTGCGCGGCGCTAAGGCGACAGCCACATTTTGAAAAACACTCGCCCTCAAACCGTGGAACTCTTTCAATTGTTTAAGACGAATGTACACGGCGCGAAAGCCAAAGCCACAATTTGAAAACGACCCGCCCTCCTTCTGTGAAGCTGCTGTCAATGCTCAAACTTCAGAGTCATACGTGGTGAGGACATCTCAGGCGAAACACCCGGCCCGCCCCAAAAAACTGGCCTCGGGGTGCGACAGGGAGAAGTGATCTCTGGGGACAGGGAATGGAGGAGGAGGAAGAGGAGGATGAGAAGAAGGAAGAGGAGGAGGAGGGGATGGAGGAGGGGGAAGGAAAGAGGAGGAAGAGGAGGGGGAGGGGGAGGAGGAGGAGGAGGAGGGGTAGGAAGAGGAGGAGGAGGAGGGGAGGAGGAGGCGGTGCAGGAGGAGGGAGGGGGGGGAGAGGAGGGCGAGGAGGGAAGGAGGAGGAGGGGGGGGGGAGGAGGAGCCCTGGAGGAGCCTGGAGGAGCCTGGAGGCGGCTGGGAGGGCCGAGCGTCGAGGGGCCACCCCTGGAGGCCGAGGGCCGCGCCGGGGCCCGCCCCGCACGCCTGTCGCAGGGTCGGGATGGTCGGGTTGCTCTCCTCGCCGCGGCCGCGAGCGCGGGCAGCGGTCCTATCCACAGCCGGTGCGTCCTGGAGCCTCGGGCCCAGGCGGCCCGGCCTCCTCCTCCTCCTCCTCCTCCTTCTCCTCCTCGTCCTCCTCCTCCCTCCTCCTCCTCTTCTCCCTCCTCCTCTCCCTCCTCCTCCTCCTCCTCCTTCTCCCTCCTCCTCCCCCTCCTCCTCCTCCTCCCCTTCCTCCTCCTCCTCCTCTTCCCCGTCCCCAGAAGCCAGAGGCGCACTGGGCATGGACGAGGGTCGGGGCCCCAGAAGAGCCCGACCTCCAGCCGCATCCGGTGCGCCTTGGGCCTCGCGGCGCTCCTTCCCGGCCAGCACGAGCCGCGACATCTGAAGGGGCCCTGGGACACACACAAATTCGCCGGCCCAACGGGCCAGAGGCGTGCTAAGATCTCCGGTAACTTGTTCACAATATTTCTAGTTCGCGCGCGCGGAGCGGCCCCTGGGGGCCCCCGGACGAAAAGTACCCCGGCAAGGTCCCGAGAGAAGCCCGGGAGAAGCCACCAGACCACTCCAGGGGAGGGTATTTTTCGACACCCCTCACGAGGATCGTGGCCTCCGAGGGGGGAGCCGCAATCGACTACCCCCAAGAGCCCCCCAAGAGGCCCTGGGGGCCTCCAAAACGCCGCCAAGGAGCCCCAAGAGACTCCCAAGAGGTCCCCAAGATGCCCCCAAGAGGCCCTAAAGAGGGCTCCAGGGCCGGCGGCATGAACGAAGCGATTAAATAAATACACACATAAAATGAAACCCCCATATTTTCCTATATTTTCTGGATTTTCGTCTTCCCGCCCAATTCCCATATGTTCCCATATTTTCTGGGGAATCGACGGTTAATTGAGTCTGTGTGTTTTTTCCCTCCTGACCATCGGGCGTCGGATCGGGATCTCGGTGCGGGTGGCCGGCGAGCCGCTCCGAAGCGGATCGCGCCCAGAGCGCCGCGCCCGGCTCCAGCTGGTCCTGCTCAGGGGGCCGCACGCGGAGCCTGCGGGGCAGCTCTTCAACCCATAGGCTTTTTTTAAACACATAGGATTTGTAATGCATGATTCGTGTATGAATAAACTCGTGCAGGAACTCATCGTTGTTTTTAACAAGGGATACGTCGACCCCTATCCCAGGCTTCGTGGGGTTTCCGAATGGACCAGAAATTTGGGGCCCAACCCTGGGATATACGATGGGGGGGTGCCCATCCTCGATAGGGGTGCGTCCGAATAGCCCCCTTGGGGTGTATCCCAGGGTTTTTCCATTTTTCTGAGCGGCCAAACTTTTTGGGCGAAACTCGGGGATTGGGGGAGAAAAATCGCCTGCGAGTTTTCTGCTGAATCCCTGTCTGTCTGATGCACGATCCGCACGCGGAGCACGGATGAGACACGGCACTGTGCCCCTGCCCCCCGCGATTTCCGAGGGGGGAGGGTGGGGCAGGCTCACCTCGCTCGGGAGCTCCCGGGCAGGTTCCCCTCGCTCGGGAGCTCCCGAACGGAGTGAATCCCACCCTCCCCATCGGAAATCGTGGGGGGTACACCCTGCGAAATGCTTAAGAAATCATGGGTTAAGAAATTCATAGTCTCAGAACTTGAATAAAAACCCAACGTTTCCATTAAAACCTTAAGATTTACATTGAAATATTAAGAATAATCGAGACTATGGCCGAAAACTTAGGTTTTCTTAAGCATCGCCTAAGGTGTAGGGCCAGGGTTCGCATGTGGCCCTCGACTGTCGGGCCGGGCGAAAGGGGGAGGATAGCAAAGGGGGGGGGGGGGAGAATCACCTCACGTAGCTGACTACCTGCCAGACCACCCCAACCCAACCCGAAGATCCGAATTTCGGGTTGGGGGGGGTAAGGGTTCCACATGTGTTTTTTCGACGTTTCCCGACCCCCCCCCCACTGGAAATGGAGGGCAAATTGAGGCCTTCGGGTTGGGTTGGGGTGGTTTGGTGGGTGGTGAGTAGCTGATTATCCTGGCGCCTCCCGGCGCCGGAGGCGGCTATGCATCGAGGAATGGGCCCCTCGGTGGGGCCGAAACCAGCTGCATGCAGCAAATTTCGTAACCTAAAACATGGCTAAGATCGGGATAAATCGCTCCAGAGCGTTCCGGAGCGCTCTCAGAGCGTTCCGGAACGCTCTGGAGCGGCCGCGGCGCCCAATACATCCCCCAAACCCGCCGATTCTCAGAGATTTCGAGTTATCCCGATCCGACTTTGTCCCGATCTTCGCGACGTTTGATAACCCCCCCTTTCCCAATCCCCCCCCTTCGTCCGGCCCGGTACTGGTCGATGCTGGTGAATCGAGCCAAACCGCATCGCGCCGGATGCGCGGAGGAGGAGGAGGAGGAGGAGGAGGAGGAGGGGGGAGGAGGAGGAGGAGGAGGAGGAGGAGGAGGAGGAGGAGGAGGAGGAGGAGGAGGAGGAGGAGGAGGAGGAGGAGGAGGAGGAGGAGGAGGAGGAGGAGGAGGAGGAGGAGGAGGAGGAGGAGGAGGGAGGGAGGAGGAGGAGGGAGGAGGGAGGAGGGAGAGGGAGGAGGGAGGAGGGAGGAGGGAGCCCCGCTCGCGAGGCGCAACGCGTCGCACCGCATCGCAGGCGGCCCTGCCCCGGGCAGGAGCGACCCCCGGCGCGCGGCTCTGCACAGGGCAGTGTTTCATATACATAGGATTTTTTAAAGATGGGATTTTCAGTGCGGCAAGTTCGTGTCTTGTCGACCCCGGCGTTGGTTCCTGACACCTTGGGGATCATTCAACCTTGAACGATCGGCCATTTCAGAAACGTCCAAATCGTTCCACATCGAACGATTCTGGGTCGCCCGCGGCGTTCAAGGTTGAACGCCACTGGCAGGGTCGCCGCCGGTCGACACGACACGAACCTACCGTACATGATTAAATGACTAATAAATCAGTGCATAAACTCATCGCTGGTTTTAATACTGAATCCCTGCGTGTTTAATACATGATCCGCACGCGGAGCGTGTATTCAAAACGGCACTGTAGGACGACGCCAGGAGGGGGATAGCATCGGGAAAGGACAAATTCGGGGGTGGACAAACATCCCTTTAGTAAACCTCCCCTGAATAGAAACGGCCTGGGACCGACACCGACGGACCTGAACCCGCAAAAATGACGGCCGCGACGCCCTCTCGCGAACCGAAAACAGCCAATTCCTCAATCGACGTGTCAGGGTAGGCGGTCTGTCCACCCCCGACAAATCGAGCATCTTCTCCGAGATCCGGCGGCTTTGGTTGATGTCTTAGGCGCCACGGCCTTCTCAGAGCGATCTGGAACGCTCTGAAAGCGTTCCGGAATGCTCTGGAACGGATTTATCCTCGTCCCAGCCCCGTCCGACATACGAGTGACCCTAGGCAAGGACGACGTTTGCAGCGCGGCTTTAGGGGTCCACGGGGCGGCCAGCTCCACGCGCGCAAGCCACTGCCATGGGGACACCTCTGGCGAGCGAGCGAGCGAACCACGCGAGCATGCCTGTCGGCTGCTCGGCCCTGTGCAGGGCATGGGTGTACAATTCGACTACCAGCCAGACAACAAATATGAAACGTGAGCAGAATGTGGAATTGGGAATTGTGTTCAGATCCGGTGCAGCTTGGAGCTTCGAGCTCCCATCCCCCCCAAGAGCCGAGACGTGCGGGGTGCGGATACGGATGTGGCCCGTAGAGGCTCGATTCTCGTCGACGTCCAATGCGCCTCGGCTTCGCGGCGCACCCCCCTGCAAGATAGTCCAAGATGCTCCGCATATGGATCAACAAAAGTTTGAGCAGGGACCGACCGTCCCGGCACTCCTATAGTAATACCACGAACTGTTCTTAGAACCCAAAGATGTTCTAAGAACAAAAACAATGTTCTTAGAACACAAACCTTATGTGTGAAAAAAACAAGACAGCCCCAGCCAGAAAGGTCCTAAGAACATCTCGTGGGAACCACAAACAGCTCTCAGAACATCGTTTGGTGGGGCTATAGGCACGGGACGCTTCGCCACTGCTTGAAAAGTATTGCCCGCAGCTGTGGGCCCGCACCAGAGGGCCCCTGCGGCAAAGGCCGCCCAAAAATACTCCAACGAGGTCAACAAAATACTCCAAAAATAATCCCCAGACTATGTTTGGACTATTTCTTCACTGTTTTTGAGTACTTTGTATTTTCCGTCGAAGATCCCCCTGTAGGGGCACAGGCCCGACTTAGTATTGCCCGCAGCTGTGGGCCCGCACCCCAAGAGGTCCCCGCGGCGAAGGCCGCTCCTGCGCACTGGCAGAGGGCAGGGGGGCTCCCGCGCGGGCCGTGGGCACAACGGCTGTGGCCCTGGCCTCTCGCAGCGTGGCGGGCCGCTCCTCCTGGCAGTTTTTAATACTCCAGATTTCGTAATAAAAGGGAGGGGGTCTCATTTCGGGGGGGGGTCTCTTCCAGGCTATCTTGGAGGGCCTGGGGGGGTCTGGGGACGATGTTTTGGAGGGTTCTCCCACGGGGGGGGGGTCTGAAATGGCTTGTCTTGGAGGGTCCAGACCCCCTCCCTTTTATTACGAGATCTGGAGAACATGGGATGTTTTAAATATGGGATTTGTAATACATGACGAATTGATGCATAACTTTGTGCATGACCTCATCGTTGCTTTTAGCACTGCATTCCTGCACTTTTAATACATGATCCGCACGCGGAGCATGCACTAAAAACGGCACTGTGTTCATCAGGGGGTCGGAGAGGGCTACGGGTGCGTGCTGTCGGATGGGGGGCCCCGCTCGAACGGGAGCGTTCCCCAGGGTCCGACAACCCGCGCCCATGCCCATAGCCAGTTCTCCTCCCCACGAACCCCCCTACTCGAGGAGGAGGAGGAGGAGGAGGAGGAGGAGGAGGAGGAGGAGGAGGAGGAGGAGGAGGATGAGGAGGATGAGGAGGAGGAGGAGGAGGAGGAGGAGGAGGAGGAGGAGGAGGAGGAAGAGGGGAGATCCTCTTCCATGCCCAGTGCGCATCTGGCTTCT